AGGTTCCAGAGCTCACAGAGCTCCTCTGCTAGGACACTGGATTTCGAGCATAAACACAGACTTCTGTGCTGAGCATTCTAATTCTGCAAGTCAAGTAGAGAGCCCAGGCAGCTGCCTGCTAATTAGCTACCCTGGGGAAAAAATTGCTGGTGCTGGAGTGGATAATGTGTTTGCCTGTTTCTGTGGGATTCTTGACCAACTGAATACCCTCCTCTCCCTCCTTCCAACCCTCTCCCTGGGCCTGGCCCTGCACCCTGGCTCAGAAGATGGTGCTGCATTTGCATGCCTGGGCTCTATCTAACACATCAGCTTTTCAGACTGGCCAATTGCTAAGCAAATGTCACTTGAGCTACAGCTCGGAAGGGGATCAGTGAGAGAAATGATCCATCTGAATAGATGAAGACTATCCCTTGCCAGATGGAGATGAGCTAGTAAAGTCCCTACAACATCAAGGACAGTCTCCATGACCCCTCCCCAGGCAAACTGTGCTGTCAGGGACAGGGACTCTTCTGCATTCCTCTAAAATTCTTATGAAAGCCTTCATCCCAGGTGTGAGGAGAGTTGCAGATAGGGCCTTTGGGAGGTGATTACATTTACATCAGGTCTTGAGGATAGGGCCCTCACTGTAGGATTAGTGTTCTTATAAGACAAGGAAAGGAAACCAGGGCTCAGGCTGTCTCTGTCATATGCAGAATGAAAGTCAGAGGACACCAGGACCTGAATTTCCAGCACCCTAACCTTGGACACCTCAGCCTCCAGAGCAGTGAGGAACAGATCTCTGTGCTTTGTTATCCAGTCCAGGACATTTGTTATAGCAGCCTGGGAGGACTACCAGATACAGTCTAGGAATTGTACTGGTACACATTTGTACACAGTGCTTTACATACAAATAAAAGCCATAGCTACTGCTTGCTCCAGAAAGTCACCGCCATGCCCCATGTGCTGCTTCTGCTGTTCCCACTTAGCCAGCACTCATTGCATTCAATGTTTCACACGCTTACTTGCTTTATTTTCTAGACAGCCCCGGCCAGAAGACATTTTGCTAGCTCCATCTGATTAAAAGGAGATTCAAACTCAGGATTGGATGCGCAACCAGTAAGCGACATAGTTGGCGTTTGAAGTCTCCCGACTCCCATGTGCAGGCTTATAGGGAAGATGAGCATTTGGGGCTGGAGGGGTGGTGGTAGGGACTCCAGCAGGGTCTGAAGAGAGCAACAGTGCCACCGCCACGAGGCTGAAACCTCCGTTCCCCGGGGCCACCTGACTTGTTCAGCTTAGCACCTTGAAACTCAGCTACTGTAATTGGGTACAGCTGTCTCCCAGGGCATCACAGCAAGGCCTCCCCAGGAGGCAGATGCACGGGCGTCCCCGAAACTGCCAAAGAATCGGCTTTTGGGTTTTGTTCAAAATAAAGATCATGATAAAAGTAATAATGTAAACTGATTTTAACATGTGCCCAATTTAAATGACAGGCTCAGGTTCAGTGTTGACATTTTCGGGCAATGCAAAGTTCTCTGGCTCTCACTCAGGGCCACTAAGTTGCTTCTACAAATAATGGAGCTACATGTTTTTCAGTTCACGGGGAGATTGTTGAATGTGCGTGAACACCAATCTCCGCCTGCAGCCCCCCACCCCACCCCGCTCTCCCGAAGCCCCCCTTCGTCCCTGCCCAAAGCTGCTCTGGGGTTATTTGGGAGTCTTCATCAGCCTCAAGCTGCAGCTGGGCCCGGAGCAAAGGCACAGACACATCATACCCCTTCAGCCCTGGACTAGCACCATGGCTGGCTCCCCGTAAAGAGAAGCGAAGGTCCTTCTGACAAGCAAGCATAAATATTTTCTTTCCCAGCCCGACTCAGATGGGGATATTCGCTGTTAATAAAGTGGCAGCTGGCTATCTGGGAGCATCTGAACACGGCCTTCTCTGGCAGGGAGCATGTCATCAATCTCTGTCCGCACCTTGTCAGATGACAGGACTTTGCTGGCCTGCTCCTTTTCAGAATGTGTCTCAGATGGCAAAAAGCAGGAGCATTTGCAAAACACCAGTTTCATCTTCTCTCTCTGGAGGACAGGGCGGAGCGGCCTAGAGTTTGCTGCCCTTGGCAAGCTGACCTATCAGGAGCATGGCCATTGGTGCCTACCAAGCCTGTTTATTTAAGCTCTGCATCAGACGGTGAGACTGTATTTACAGGGACAGGAGGGAAAGTGTTGAAGCAGGCTAGGTCTTCCCACTTTGAAAGGTGCTCAGAGCAAAAAAGGACGACACGACGATGTAATGGGAATCCTGCTTTGCTGTGAGGCATGTGGGCTGGAAATGGAGCGCAAGGCCCGGAAAGGGTTTGAAATAACATTTCAGACGAGAGGCCTCCCTGCCCCCACCTGGAAATAGGTGTCAGGATGGAAAACAGGGCACCTCTCCTCACCACTCGTCACCAGGCAGGGCTGTTTGAAATGAAAACAAAAAATTCTTCCTTCAAAGAACATGTGTTTTCGAAAGTACCATGAATTCTCTTCTTGACTTCCAAGGCTAGGCTTCGTGAAGGCCCCATTCACAGCCTGCCGAGGTCCGGGAAGGAGCTGCTGCCATGAGGTAAAACAGCAGCAGCCTCAGGGTTGCTCGTCAGTAAGCATCTGATGAGCACTAGGGCCTCTGGGTGACAAAAGGAGATAAAGATCTAGGATGACCTGAGCCTGGGTTCAAATCCCTGCTGTATCAGTTTGCTCGGGGAAGGGTGTTCAAACGTTCTGTGTTTACCTACAGAATGGAGATGATGGTACTGATCTCTAAGGATGGCTGTAGGATCCTGCTGAAGCATGCAGATGAAGTGCAGGTCCTCAGCACTTGACCTCTAACGGTGCTTGGCAATGTGTGTGTTTTCTTACTGGAGTCACAGAAGTTGCCCACTGCTGCAGAGCAGGGTGGAGCACCTCAGCTTTTCAGTCACTTCCCCCTGAGATTTGACCCCAACCACTTCTCTCATCCAGGGTCCCAGCGTTCTCCTACTGACATTGATGAGCGAGCGAGCCCAGTCTGCCCAGGACTCTGGAATTGACACCACACAGTAGCCGTCTCCATAGGCTTGTGGGTGCTCTTCTACACCTCCAGTCCACATAACCCCATTCCCCCTCACCATGCCATCCCCCCAGCCAGATGCCTGTGCCTTTAGGGAGAAAGTTACACCAATTTAGTGTGTGTGCTTCATGCCAGGCACTTCCGGTCTCAAACATTTCAGATAAGGGATACTCAGCCTGTATTATGCTATATCTACATTTTACAGGATCAAGAGAGATAGAATTAAAAGAGGTAAAGAATTTCCAAAAGGAAAATGACTCTGGGCCAAAGAAGGGCCTGGGGGATCAAGGAACACAACTTGAACACATTTGTTCACATTTAAAGATCCTTCATAGAATTTCATTTGACCCAAGAAGCCAAGGGGATTGGCTGGCAAAGGGTAGGAGTTGGATTACAATCTCCACTTTACAGAAGAGAAAACTCAATCTCCGAGAGATAAAGTGACTTTCCTGAAAGTTGTAGCTCTGCTAAAGTGTTCTGATGGGCCTGTTGCAGCAGACTTTCAGACTAGTCAGAGCACAGTGCCCTTTCTCAGTGAAGATGCTACCCTGCAGACAAACAGCTGAGATGGGCCCATCTCCATATTGATCTGTGGCTAACAGATAAGGCTACCATCTAAAGCTGGAACCAGGACTTAGTGTGTGACCAGGGCCTCCTGACTGCAGCCCAGTTCTATTTCTCCACTACCTGCCTTGACACTGATCTTGGGCAAGGCCTTCCCCATCTGTAGTGAGAGGATGTGAGAGAAAAGGTTTCTACGGCCCCCTCCCAGAGTCCAGGCTGTTGCTGGGATCAGATCTGAGCTCAGGAAGTGAAGGTGAAGACAGCAGCAAGTCCTGAGGCTCCAGACATGGGCCAAGCCCCACAAGAGGGAAGGGTGGGAGGCAGAGAGTACCGAAGCTGTCACCAACCCTCTTCCTCCTTTCCGGCCTGAGGGTCTCCTCTGCTTCCATATCTTGTTGACTTTTGAATTTATAAGGTGTACAGGTTGTCAAGGCCCCAGGATGATTGCACTCTGGACCCGCCTTGGGAAAGCAAGGCTCTACCGCAGCTGGGAGGAGGGTGGGAATGAAAGGCAGGGCTCCCCCACGTTAAGAAGAAATGAAAGAGGAGGATCATCAAAAAGAAGACAGAGGGAGAACCTCCCTTTCCTGGGAAGGAAAAGGAGAGGAGCTATACGAACTTTCTGATTGTGTTCTGAAACCCTTGATTCTTGAGCAGGTCTGACTCTGGTGGCCGGAAAAGCTCAGGTGGGGTGAGGAGCTTTATGGTGTTTGCTTGGTTTATTGGTTCTGGGGAAGAGGATATGAGGGCCCAAGCAGTTCTCTGGAGATAGGACCCCCTCAAGGAAAAGTCAAGATTTATGATTTCCGGAAACGCTCAAGGTTACTGGGCTGGGCAGAGTCAGTTTTCCTTGGCTGTGGGGACTGAAAGGAGTGAGGATCTGAAGGTAAGGAAGTCCCAGAATCCATTCCCCCACACCTCCTATTTTCATCATCTTTCATGCCTCTTTGTAGCAACTCCACATGTTGAGGGTCCTGAGACCCCCACCCTCTCCCCACCATCTTAATAATGGGAGGATTGAGTCTGGGAGAACCATAGGTCATAAGGAACTCCCTGCTAGAGAGGGCCTTTTCTCTCTGAGTGGCCACTGTGGCCAAGTCAAGAAATACTTGAGTAATTCTGACTAAAAGAAAACCAGTCTTGCTAGGGCTGTGTTCTGAGGTCACCTCTGTTCTACCCAAGGCCAGTGTGGAAGAACAGCCAGCCACCATTGCTCAGTGAGGTGGCCCAGATGGTCCTTCCACCAGCATGTGATCCCACCAAGGGTTCTTGACCTCCCGGGAAATGCCCACCCCACCACTTCTGTGGATGCTGGCCCTGACCAAGTGGCTCTGGAAATAAATGTTTCATTGACAACCCTACTTACAGTCACAAGAGGCTGGTTCCTGACATGGCCTTCCAGTCTTCCTTGGCCCCTGTTAGGAGGATAGATTTTATTTCTGGGCTTAATTAGGGGACCTTTCATAAATATTCATGCCACAAAATGAGCCCTGGCTCACAAGTGCAGCTGCTTCCCGCTTAGGAGAAATTAACATTGTTTTCCAGCAAAGAGTAATGGAGGCTGCACTGTTGGAGAGAGGAGCCTTTTCAATAGCCTCTCTAGGACAGAAAGGGACAGGCCACAATGAGAGGCACCCCGCACCCTCCACATCTCCAAATAAGGAGACTCAATCCTGTCAGATGCGAGGGGAACCCCCACCTAGGTACTTTCCAGAGTGGGAGGTACCTGAGCCATCTTGAGAACAGGGCTCAGCAAATTGCCAATCAAGAGGCAAATCCACTTGCTACCTGTTTTTGTAAATAAAGTTTTATTGGAACCCAACCACTCTTATTTGTTCAGTTACTGACTACAGTAGCAGTGTTGAAGAGTTGTGAGGAGGAAATTTCTGGCCTGTCATGTCTGAAATTTTTACTTCCTGGCCTTTTACAGAAAAAAGCTTGCTGATCTCTGTTCTAGAATCGTCTCATCCTGGAAGTTTATTATTATTATTAATAAAAGTCCCCTAACTTCAAACTCTCTGGAAGACAGCAGAGTAGTGTTTAAGTCTCACAGTCTTATAATCATACTCGCACAGACTCTGGAACCAGAGTTCCACCTCAGTTCTATCACTTCCTTAATCATGTGACTGTGGGCAAGTAACTTTGTTTCTGCCTCAGTTTCTTCATCTAAACTGGGGATGATAATAATGGCACCTACCTCACAGGATTTCCGTGAAGATTAAGGGAGTGAATTTTTATAAAGTCCTTAGAAAGTATCTGGCAAAGGATAAGCATTAAACAAGTGTTTGTTAAATAAATGGATTCAATCTTCTGTAATTCCAGAATCCCCAAAGCATAGAATCTTAACCTCCTACAAATTCCAGCCTGCCTGATCTTAGAATCTCAAATTTGACAATTCTCCTTCCCCAAGTTTCTGATGCTGGGCTAAAAGCTTTACGTGTATTATCTCACTTAATCCCTAAAGCAAGTCTTTGAAGTGGGGATTACTGGCAATACACACATGAGGAAAGTGGGGCTTTACCAAGGCTAGGAGACTAATCCAAGGTCACTCAGGGGTGAATTGCAAATTCAGAACAGGAGGCTGGGGTACCTGACTACAAAGTCCGTCTCTTAGATATTCCCACACGTGCACACACACATACACACACACACACACTCACTTCAATGCTCTCTCCCTCTTTGGTACCTGTAACAGGTTCTTGGCCTGTGCTGGGCAGCTGCCGGATTGAGGAGCTCACTCCCTTTAGAGACACCCGGCTCTGCTCCTGGAATATTCAGAGAGGAATCTGCTCTTACATTCCCTACCCTCTGGGTCCTTCTCTTCACTGACTCTTCCAGCCCTGAAAAGTCTTGGCAGGAGAACATGAACATCCTTCCTAGGGCTGCCCTTGCCTTGCTATATGGGAGCCAGCAGCAGTCTAAGCCCCAAAGCATTTACAGCCAAATGGCCATGGGTGCAAACCCAGCTCCCAGCTTTGGACAGACAGCTCCTCAGAGAAGCCCTCCCTGACCTCTGCCAGCAGCAGGAACCCCACCTCCTGAAGGCTCCCAAGGCTTCCACTTGAGTCATCATTACCCAATGAGATAAGACTTCTAATAAAAACCCTGGGACTCTCCAACCCTTGTATCGTTTTCTGCTTGCTTCAGTGTCTTGACGCCCAGTTTCTCTGACTGTTCTGTAGCTTAATGAGGCTTATCAAAGGCCAGTGGCATTGTGCTCGTCCTAGGGCTTTTTTGACACAGTAGGTCAAGAACCAGTCATCACCTACATTTGTAAGGTGATGTGCCTGGGGCCCAGGGAAGACACCAGGACACAATGGGTCCTGTGTGCCTCCCTGGGCCCAGTCTTTGTCTCATCCCCCCCTGGACCTGTGCAGGTGCTCACCCTCTTTCATATGCACATATGCCTTGCTCAACCACCAAACACACACCCAGTCAAAGCCTAGGCAGGTATTTTTATTCCTGGTTGCCAGATGTGCAAGCCAGGGCTTAGAGCCTCTGTGGATGTCCCAGGGGGCAGCCTGCCCCCTCAACCCCACCATCCTCACTGGCCATGGCTAAAGCCCTCTCACCCACCCCAGAAGTCCTGCGAGGCTCAGCACACATCCTTTCAGGGAGTGGAAAAGGAAACACTGAGCTCTTTTACAGGCTTTCTGTGTGCATGACAAGCAGCCCCCAAGGATGACTGACCCTCCATGGATGGGAGGAATGGTTTATTTTTCCTCTGGACTGCTCTAGAGCCTTTCAAAGGTGTGAAGTCCCATAGCCTACAAACGCTGAATCCACTGGCCAACCAGAGCGGGCCCTGCCCTGCTCCCCACCCCACCTCTTCATGTGCTGCCCACCCACAGGAATTCCCTCCACCCACCTAGCCTCTCCTGCACGGAAGTCCTGCAGAGTGACGGCTCTGAAACTCGACTCTGATGTTTAGTCATCAAACACTGAGAGGCCCTCCACGTTGTCCTTTGCCATCCGGACCCTCTGCTTCCCCAGGAGAAGAGGGTCCCCGGTCCACTGCAGGCTCTGGATGCCTGACACACTCACCCTGGACACTGACCACGAGGAGGAGCATCCAGGCTGGTCCTGAAGAGCAAGAGAGATTCCAGTGAGACACAAGGAAGGACCCTCTGCCTCAGAGGGACAGTTGGCTCAGAGAGAGAGGGGACAGGATGTCTTGTGGCAACTTGGTAAGGACACTGGGCTCCTCACTCCGAGTGTCCTTCCTCACACCCATGACAAGGGGGAGACCATGTGATTCCTAAGCCCCATTCCCTACCAGCTCCAAATGTTGCAATTCTGAGTTTCCACAGCAAAACACAGGGTGTCTGGGGACCAAGGGCCATTTCTGAACTTTCCTGCCTCCAGGCCTGTCGTGTGGTTACCTGTTAGGAGGAGACTGGGCAACTATGCTCATGAAGTGATTGGTTGCTTTCTCATAAATGTCTGAGGAAGTTGCATGGATATTTTTTTAAACTGAACTGATAGCGTCGTTGGTCTTCTGTTGCCCTTCTCCCCCTGCCATTTCTATAACTGAATGGACTGTTTTTGTTGGACTGACATGTTGTTATCTAAGCTGCCCCCTTGTTGGACCAACTGATGGGCCATTTGTCTACACTGACCAGCTGTGCGACCAAGGTGGCTGGGTTAAAGCTCTCCTGACCAGATATTCTGGCTGAGCAGACTACCCTGAGGCCTGTGGTCACGCCAGCCCCACATCCCAAACTCACCACCACCTGGTGCTTCCAGAAGGGTCCAGCCCTGAATGTTTCAGACATAACCCCATCCTGGTCATCATGAAAAGATATACAGTAATGGTATTGGTTTGAAACCTGGCTTCAGACCGAAGACCTGCACCAACACCTGTCATCCGCCACCCTTGCCGGGCAGCCCTGGCTCCCTGAATGTCCATGTGGGCCTGGCTGAGCCTCCAGCCTGCCCTTATCTGAGTGAGGGGACTGCTGAGCCCCCAGCACAGTCCCTCATTTGTCTCACCTCACTCCCTGTCACTGCTGACAGATCTACCCACATTCAATGGAGCTCCCCCTCATTCACCCTGCTCACCCCCTCTGTGGCCTTTCAGGCTCACAGCGAAAGGGACTTAGCCAGAAACAGGGGATTTGCCAGCATCCCTTTGCAATGGCTCTCACTTCCTTGGGCCCATCCCCTGACATCTCCAGTGTCTGTAGATGCAAAGGAGCAGTGTCCCCAGCAACCTGGTTTAGAATCAGGCAGGGACTTCATTTTGGAGCTGAAAGACAACATAGAGATTTTCCTTCCTTCATCCCCTCCCCATTTTTCAGATGGGGAAATTGACAGTCAGGAAGTAAGGCCTCTTGACACCCAGTTTGCCATGCTGTTAGCTCATTTCCTCTCTCCTTCTCTTTCCTTATTTTTTTTTTTTTCCAGAATTGAGGACGCAATGGTGTTTGTCATTTGGGTTAATACAATCCACTGCACCACTGAAAAATGGAAACAATAGGTGCAGCCATAGTCTAGGAAGCTTTTTGTCATGGTTTTGTTGTTTAGAATCAAAAATCAGAAGCTAGAGCCGTGCAAACTGCACTTTGTGGTTGAACTGCCTCTAAAATAAATAGAAACACTGGCCTGACTAATTTGAAATTCACTTCACAAAAAGGAAACAAAGCCAAATTGTTCTTTTCCTGTTTCTAATATTTTTTGCTCCCACATTTAGATTATTTAATCAAACTTCCTATTTGTGGGTAGGCCTACCGGGGACCAGAGAGGAGTTCTGACTGGCTGAAAGGTGCACAGCATGCAGGCAATCTGTGCTGCAGACCCAGAGCCCTCTATATTCTCCCATGAGGCTGACACCAGTTTTGTAACAATCCCGGCTCTATCGAAATGGTATTCTTAGAACCGCTGCAGTTTGGTTTGCTGTGGGAATTTGCAGTTTCTAAATTAGATCGCTTTTTAAAGAAAAATATTTGAAGTTGGCAAAAGGCATTGCTTTCGGTATCTTATCTACCTGAAAGTTGCCCCGATCGCTCAGGATTTCTAACCCAAGCTGCTCCCTCCCTAAAGTGCTTTAGGTGAACCCAAGGCAAGGAGATTCTGCTGGAAACTGAGCTGGAGAAAAGATCTTAGGAGGAAAGTAGACTTATCTTTGAGCAGCCACTGCAGAAAGACTCTGTCTTTCTGATGCTTGAATTAAAAAGCAGGAGGTTCCATATTTAAACTGTTTATTTTAGGCTACTCTTTTTGCAGAGTTTGGGATTAATTCCCTAGGAAGTCAGTGTTTTATAAAGTACCAGCATGGCTCTGAAGCTGGCTTTGTTTTGCTTTTGGTTTATTCCTCAGTGTAACAGAATGCCATGTGTTACTCTCCTGCTGATGTCTGACCACCCTTTTCCATTGTGCTGTCCCCTGTGGGAATTTATAGCTGGGTAACGATCTCTCTGAACACGATGAGGACATGAGGATGTGGATAACATCATCAGCTCATTGTTGAACCATTCTCATCAACCAGTTTTAATCACCCCCAAGACTGATAAGCATCAGAGGTTGTTAATTCCCGGAAAATTATCTAATCCACATGTTGTCTAATTCGTGTAAACGCCAGCCTAGGAGGATCACAAAATAAATAAGCATGAAATGGTTTATAGTTTCAATCCCCTTTCACCTAGACAGATCAGCTCCTCATCTCAGCCACTGCATCAACTCCTGCCTCCTCCTGACAAAGAATGGGTTGTGTGGCTTCCTATGCGGACCTCATTGCTGCTGTTTCGGGGACAGAGGCCACATACATACTTCAGCAGGGACCATCCCTTCTGTTACCCCTCCCATAGCCCAAAGAGGCCAAAGCTTCATTTCACTAATGTGCTAAAAATTGAAATAATCTTGACCCGCAAGACACAGGCATGGTGAATTAAGATGCTCGATGAGTTGCTAAAAAGTAAGTTGTTCCATGAAAAAGAGAGTACTGGGAGGCATTGTAGTGATGAGAGACAAAGCAGAGAGGGGAGGCAGAAAAGGAGCTCCGCAGTGCTAGGGGCCGAAGGAATGACAGAGTTAGCTGTGTGGTACAGACATGAGCACAGGCGGCCAGGGATGTGCTTGCATGTGCAGGCACACATAGGGCCAGCTTGGGGCAGGGCTGATTCACCTCCAGATCGCTTTTTGTCCCCCAAATTCTTTAAGACTGTATTAAAATCCTGTCATTCAAAAATTCTGTAATTTATATGTCTTATTTTTCCCTAACAGAACAGACATTCTGATTCTAATGTTTTGTAATTCTAAGAGTTTATAATCCAAGGAATCCATCACTATAAACTCTAGTTCTAAATTGCATGGTTCTCTAATTCTGCCAGTCCGTGGTGCTAATATTCTGTGACTCTAAGATTCTATTGTTCAATCTTTTCTTAATTTAATCGTCTAATATTCCACTGTTCTCAAGTTTTGTGATTGTAAGAGACCATAATTCTATATTTCTATAAATTTGTCCTTCTGTATTTCTAATATTCTACAATTCTAGTATTCTAAAATTCTGACACTATAATTCTAAATTTCTCTAATTCTAATGTTTTAGGTTACTAAGATTTAAACCATTTATGCGATTCTATAAATTAATTTTGTAAGAACTCTTAACAGTATAATCCCAAGATTCTGGGTTTCTCAGACCCTACAATGAAAAAAAGTTTTTCATTCCATGCTCTATATTTTGAAGATTCTACAATTCTAAGATTCTTAGTTCTGTGATTTTAATATGGTATGTTATCATAATTTCAACATTTCTCCTATGTTATGCTTTGGTACTACAAATATAAAATCGCTTTATCCGCAAGCATGGGAATTAAGTTACAAAGGATCAAGGGACCACCACAACTGTCCCCAGAGTGAGGTTATGGGTGTCCCTGAGCTGGGATCTTTCAGCAGCTACCTGAGGAGGGCTGGTGTAACCACCCTGGACTCCAGGAGCTGCAGGAGAAACAAAGGCATGGACACATAGGACCAAGCCCAGGGTCAGGGAAGGAGTCAGGCTCCATTCCTCCCCACAGTGTGGGGTCCTCAACAGCCAGGTCTCCAAACATCTGCCAATATTTGGGTCCCAATTATTGTCCTTTAAAAGTATCTTTCTCTCTTTTTTTATTCTCAACCAAGCACTCCCATGACAATCGTTTTAAGCAGCTAATGAGTTTCAGATGGGCTTCATGAGTCAGGGACCAAGAGATGCTTCGGAGGAAGGTTCTTTGGCCCAGTTTTGATGGGGGAGGAAAGGATTAGAAAGAGGAATCTTTTTAGCCAACATGTTATGGGGCCCACCCACCCCTTCCTCCCAGCTAGGACTGGAACCTGGAAAGGAGTCAGGAGCCCCCATGGTTACTCTACTTGCTCCTTGAGTGTGCCCCATGTTTGCTCGCTCTTCCTTTCTCTTCCTCCTTGTTGCTGTTTAGAACTCAGACAAAATAAAGACCCAGAAGTACTATATGAAAGATCAAGACTATTTTAAATCCAAGATGCTCTTACTCACCTGCTCATAGAAGCATCTTTGCAAAAGACAAAAATAACATTTGTTGATCTTCTGTGAACCTATCACTTTGCAGAAGCACAAGAGTAAAGCCTGGATCCCGGCTGCCTGGCCTGGAGTGGAGTTTGCTGTGGGGTCCTGGAAACAAAGCACTCAGGCCCCCAGGCACTGTGGGTCCACTCAGCCACCCTGTAGCTTTCTCCTTCTGGCTGTTCACTCCTTTTTGAGCCCTCCTTCTGCCCTTACAGTTGGTCTGGGATTCTGGGTGTGCTGACCCCAAAAAGCTTTCTCCCTCCTATACCAGGGGGGACAGGGAAGGCAAAGACTCTGGAGCGGGTGTCTCAGCCTCCATTTCCATGGCAGTCAGAAAACCTGGACCTGGCTGGGATTACACAGTGGGTTCTGCAGCTGTCTCACTCTGACTGCCCAGCAACTTCCATGGCTTTCAAAGTCTGATTTAGGCAGCCATGTAAATGAGCAGAGCATTGAGAGAGACACACCAGTGCACTTTGGAGGAGCTCACAGCTCACTGAGGCTGTTCTTAAGCAGGAAGGTGGGGGGAAAATTCTGCAACAGGATGTATATAGTTTAGGGTTCA